TCTTTTCTCCTTTAATTGTTTTTGTGGATAATATATTTTTTCTATATCTTCAAATAATTTAGGGATGTTATGTAATGTATAATATTTTATCTCCTAATTTCATTAGATTTTTATTAGTAAGTTTAATTCATATTTTATTATATATAAAATATTTTATTATATATATAAAATATTTGTAATTAAAAATAAAAATATTAATAAATTATTGATATTTAAGATAATTACTTAAACTCTAAATTAATTATAAAAATATTTGTAAAATGATAAATGAAATATAATTATAATGAAATTAAAATGAAAGTGTTTATTATTTTTTAAAAAATAAATTTTAAGGATTAATTGAGACAAAATTAAATTTTATCATATTAATTTTAAAACAAGATAAGTTTTTAAGATTTATTAGGATAAAATTAACGTTTAGGTGCCTATTTATAAAAAAAATAACATTTAGGATAAATGAATACTTTTTTCCTAATTTTATTATTTTTAGTTGTAATTTTTCTTGGCTAATATTTTTTAATATTTGCTTTATATTATTGATTTTATCCAATTCTTTTTCTATTTTATTATAGGTAAAATATGCAATTTTATTTATAATTTCTAGTCTTGTTATATTTTTTTATCAATTTTTTCATAGTTAGATCAAGTCTTTCATTCGTATTTTCAATTTTTTCTGTAAATGCCATTAGTATATTTTTTTTTTACCTGTACTTTAAGTTTCTGATTAATTTTTCTTTATTTTTATTATTAATTTACACAAGAGAATGTATAAAAACTCTTCCATCTTTGAAATAACAACTTTCTAATTAATATATGTCTAGTAATTTTCATGCACTTTTAATTTTCACTCTTTTTTAAAATATAAAGATAAAGATATTAATATATAAAAAAATAAACATATTCTATATCTATACTAATATATAAAAGGGATACCCTTTTCGGTAACTACCTTGATCTCCACTTTTTCTGACCATTATACCCTTTTATTTTAGAAAATTAGAAAAAATATTTTTAATCAAATTTAAAAACTTCAAACTAATAAATCTATACTAATATATAAAGGGTATATCATTGTCAATAATTATTTTTGGTTTTTATTTTTATATGGATCATTTTATCCTTTATTTATTTTTTAATAATTATTTTTTTTATGAGTAACTTTTCATTTTTTTTCATTTTTTCATTTTTTATTTTAATACAATGCAGACACATAGTGCCTTTTTTCTACTAGATGAATACTACAATCGTATAAATAATTTTACAAGAAAACATATCCGATAGAAAAGAACGGAGGAACAAATATGCACAAACTATTTTTGTTCCTTTCGATTCGTATAAACATATCCCTTTGCATGAATTATCCAATACGAAGTGTCTCGACCCCACTAGATAAATAATACAATCGTATAAATAATTTTACATTACTTATTACTATTATACCTTGAATGTAAATAATAAAAAAATCCTATATCTTCTAAAATTTCTAATATTTGTCTATGTATAATTATTAGAGGCACAGCCCCTCTAGTCTTTATAAATTTTTTAATACAAATATTTTAGTAATTTAATTCCTTTAAATTTTTTCATAAATCTAATTTGTTATTAATTAGTTAAACCTTTGAATATAATTCATTTCACCTTAATTGTTTAACTTATTCATTCATTTGTTGGAAAAGTTATATTATTCTCTATTTGAATCCAAATTTACTTAATAATTATTGTAAGTGACACAAATAAACTTGACAATTAACACAAAAAGAATTACATTATTTAGTAGGAGACAATTTTCTACTACATCCAAAAAAATAAGAAACTTATTAAAAAAAATTATTACAGAATAATACTAACTAAAATGTTGCAATTAAATAGTAGAGAAATCAATTTGATAATACTATTTTTGTCTTTTTTCCCTTAAACTTTTTAATTTCAATAGTGTAAATTAGTTTTTCACTTTTATTATTTGTTTATTATTATTTTAATTCGATGAAATCTAACATGATAACAGGGCTTAGAGCTCATCTTAGTTTGTCTATTCTGATAGGCGTCGCCTGGTTTGACAGTCATCAATGGAGGAGGGTGTTGTGAAGTCCCACATTGCCCGCCTCAATTCTCTAAGTGCAACTTATATATCTATCGGACAATTTTACTTATTATCAATTGGTTTTAAAATAGAATCTAACATGGTATCAAAGCTTACAGGTCGGTTTGGCAAGCATCTATGGAGGGAGGGTGTTGGGAAGTTTCACATCACCTGAATTTGTTAGTTTTAAATTGAAATCTAACATATGGAATGCATTTTTTTAAGTCCATAAACAATTAGCTCAAAAGAATACAATATGCAGCAATCACCAAATTTACATATCTTTCAACACTAAAAGATGCCACAATCACTAAGAAGAAAATGACCCAATGATAACCAAGTAATTGGAGCATGGCAGTAACCACTTGATTTTGAAGTGATGGAATGCATTTTTCACAGTCCATACCCATATGTCCAACATAAAAATAAATAAATTAACATAAAAGAACTTACAGGAATTCGAATCACATCTTCCCTATTCCAAGCAAGAGGATTATAAACAACAATCACCTAAAAAAGGAATAAAAAAATTGAGAGAAAATTTCAATAAGCAATATTCATATCTAATCATGTCATTCAATGAATCGATAACTGATATGATGATAATATGATGGAATATTATCCTTACCAAGCTTTTTCCATTAACCAACGTAGCCTCAGATGGAGGACAGTAACTTATATTAAGCAGAGGACACTGCAAACAGATTCACACAATTTAGTATAATATCAGATATTCTCAAACACGAGAAGATTTAGGAAACCAATTTAATAAAAAAAAAATAAGGCATAAATATTTTTTAAACCATACAAACTGAGTGAGTTTTAACCCTGTAAAAAAATTTCTTTGATTTGCATAGTTAAAAAATTTATAAATATTGCTTTTTAGTCTTTGTAAAATATTTTTCTTTACTTTTCATTCCTCTGAAATCTTACATCACTATTTTTGGTTCATGTTCGCTGACGATCATTTTAAGGATCTATAAAAAACAGGAATTAGAGGTATTACACATTAGCATAGTATTAAATAATTGTTGGTAACACAAGATGATCACTTATCCTTTTAATAAGCACACATGAAGTTAAAAATAATTATATAATAGTAATAACTAAAAACAATAGTTCCAAATTTTAGAGGGGTGAAAAGAAAAACAAAAATTTACAAGGATTAAATCAAAACTTACTCATTTTGTGGGAACTAAAATATATTTAAGCTAAAAACACAAATTGACAGATTAATAATGGATTTCAATAGCATATATCAGAAAGCAAAACGGTTAAGGCGACATCAAAGAACACTTGGCCAAAAGTAATTTTTCAGTAGGATAAAATAATTACTTTATCGTCCATTTATATCATTTTTATTATGGAAAAAAATAGGAAACCCTATCAGCTAAGAATGGTTAATGTAGTGAAATGTGTAATATTTTCTTGCATGGAATGGTTATTGAGGATGAGTTCATGTTTCTGACATAAATTTGGTGGCATAAAATGAAATCATTAACAGTTGATTTTTAATTGACTGTGAAGTCAACTGTAATTAATTAATGATGGATTCTTCCATAAAAAAATTAAAGAAACTTATGCTATGAATATTAGTGCATTGCCTGCTGGAAGTCTGTCACCGGGTTCACCCTATGCGAACTTGATCTTTGGTTTACCAACGAAGCAAGTGCAGATGAAACCAACCTTTCAGCCTGCAAATTAAAATGTTATAGACCATATAAGTTTATGCATATGATATCAATACTAAAACAGAAAATTATTTATATGCACCTCTGCATATCCCATTGAGAGTCGCAGTGCATAATCAGAAGCAACATGCTGCCTTTCTGTGCCACTAACTGCATCATGGTGCTGAGCAATTGCTAAAGCATCAGCTAATGCATCGGTATTTGGTCCTGTTTCATTCCTCCCTTTAAAATATTCCAATTGCCTTGCAGCCTAAATGTCAATAAAAGCAAATCAATAAAGGTAGCTCAAACAAGGAAAAATGAGCTATGAGAGCTCACAAGCACATAACAAATTCCTTCATATAGTATAAGAGGTCAAGATTTTACCTGATAGTAAGCACTCATCACTCTCACGTAGCCCTTCAAGGCTGGCCTGCTTGTAAAATATCCAGTCCAATATGCATTTGGGTGATCTGCATACCTAAAATGTTTTGTCTTGGATTAAAAATTGACATCTCTGTTGAGAGTAATGGTGAATGGAGAGAACATATTCCTTGTTCAATAGTGTAAATTAGTTTTTCACTTTTATTATTTGTTTATTATTATTTTAATTCATTTTGGTGGATAAAGGAAAAAATTGGATTAAAATATTATAATAATTAGTAATAATTATTATAGCTTTACAATAGTATAAAATAAATTGTTACTAA